GGAAAGAACCTAGTCCCTGAATTTGAGAGAGAAACACCCAATACCTTTGCAAAGTGGCTTTGCCATGCGCCCCCATATGAACCACAAGTACTTCAGGCAAAATAAAAGGCCTTTATTAAGGGGGTGGTCAAGTCTTTATAGAGGGTACAGAAACAAATTATACATACATTCAAGATATGTGATGCATCAGAAAGCAACAAAAAATAAAAAAAAAAACATGATGTGCAATAAAGGCTTTGTTTTGTCAGATGTGAGAAAAGACAGACACCCTTAAAATATGTTGCATCTCCTCCTTTCCCACCGCCGTTTGTATCTTTAACACTTGCAACTTTAATCAAGGGCTTCAGAATACAATTCTTTGATTGAAGGTCTCTGAAAGGGCTAGTTTTTGCACATCAAAGGAAATGGCTTTGGCTCAAAGAAAACATGGTTTCCTAAACTTCAAAAGGAGGCATGGATGCTATGCTAAAATGCTAATATCACCTTTCTTAAATACTAATAACAAAGCCTAAAAATTTATATAACAGTTACCTAGTGCCAGGTTGGTCTAAATCACTTCTAGCCTCATCTCACTTTCTTCACTGTCTCCTCCCCATGATTTACACCTGCAACAATCTCTTAAATGCACTTCCTCCTTTACAGTGTGAAGAAAACAATATTGGATAGTTCATATCATGCTTCCTGGAGTGTGACTCAATGGTGGGCCATTTTTAAAATAAATTAAAATTTCCCAACACTTTTTTTTCCAGCAGAATAAAGCCACGGAAAATTTGGGGACCGCTTTATGATTGCGAAGATACCGGAAGCTCCAACATTTTGCATTTACTGTAGGTAATCTCCCATTTAGGGTCCACCCTTCGCGTTTGTAGATCAACTAAGGTCAGCTAGTTCCTGTTCAAAGTTTTGAACGTGGTATTAAAACTGATTATTACTGCTAAAGGAGTCGCGATGGCAAGTATCTGTGCATAAAGCCATCAGAAAGACTCGATTCAAAAGGCAAAACTTTCGAAAACTTGAATAAGCATTCTTGAGTTTATTGTCTCTATGTTTTATTTTTAAATGCGAGGACCCTTTAGGTGCCTACGGCTAGCGCCTGATTGCGTTAGTATTTATTATTTATCTTATTCTATTCCTAAATCGCCTAATCACAAGGACTCGGAAAGAAAAGCGAAGGCTCCACACCTGATATATCCTTATCACCATCTTCCCAATCTTTCTCATGAGGTGTCGGGATTTTGACGCGACGTGCCCTTTTACGGCGGTTAGCCGTTGAAGGCGCCGAGGGGTCCTGAGAGTTCGAAGAGAGAAGCGGCCCAATCAGAGAGCAGGGCTTGCCAGGCGCTCCGTTTGAGTGGGTAATTGGCGGCCTGCGACAGAGGCCAGGCGACCTCGGAGATGGCGGACGAACCGTGAGGGAGGCAGCAGTGGGTTCGGAAGGGCGGCTATGGAGGGTCCCGGAAGGAGGGTGGCCCAGCTGGCCGTGCAGCAGCAGCTCCGAGCTGCCTACGGGATCAAGCTGAAGAACCGTACCGGGAAGGGGAAGGCGCCCAGGTCGACTGCCGCGGGAGGGGTGAGTCGGGAGGCGCTGTGGGGCGACTCCGCCATCAGGCGCCCTAGAAGGCTCGTAAAGGCGCCGGCGAAGCGTTGGGGGTTGCCGTGGCCAGAGGGGTCCGCGCCTGCTGGAAGGGAGCAGCTGCCTTTCCTCAACAGGTTTGGGGGTTTCCTTTCGCTCGGAGATGCTCCTGAGTTGCTCTCGAGGAGCCAGACAGAAACTCGGCGTCGAGAAGACGCTCGCTCCGAGCTGGGGTTGTGTAATACTTTTCCCACTTTGGGTGGGAATACGGTAGTTATCTGCCAACAATAGTCATTTGCTCTCGTGTATTTGCGTTGAACGCAGAACTGAAAAACAAGGCCTGCGACTGCGGCGGGATACACGTTGGATTAATAAATAAGATAACGCGATTAATAAGTGCCACTTTCATTTTGAAAACAGGAATATGGAGACATCTGTTGGTCTGTATCTCAGTATTTATTAACAACAGTTACCTTCAAGCGTCATATTTGGTACCCATTTTTGTGCATTTGAAGATCTATTTACTTCCGATGTGGGGAGAAAACTTCTTGCAGTTTTCCTTGCTTGAGGAATGTTTTCCCCTAGCAAAATGCGTGATTCTATCAAAGAGTTTTATTAAGGTTACCTGTGAAGGGGATATAGTGTGCATTTGTAGGTTGCGATGGTTTAGGATTTAATGTGCATAAAAACCAAGTAAAGTAATGCCTTTATTCTTAGTCTTGCTAAGATATTTATCTACAGTACTGTATATGTTATTGAAACTCCAAAGAAAACATCTTCATTTAATTAGAAATGTGTTTTTTAAAGAAAATTTTCCTGTTCAACTAAGTATGATTGAATTAGCCCTCTCCCTTCTCTGCTCTGTAATTGTGTTTTAAATTCTAAACAACAAACTGATCCTAAAATGGGGAAAACTTAAAAGATGGAAACTATATTAGATACATTAACTTCTTGTGCTTTCAGTACAGTAGAAGAGAAAAAACTTCATTGTTACATCTCCTTATCATAAAGATACAATACATATATTGTATCTTAGAAATATAAGGGAAAGATAAATGAGTGTGGTTACTTATTCTTGCATGAGTAAGCAAGTATGTGCTTAAGGAGAGCATAATGTGATTAGATAAATGCTATCTACAGTTTATTCTTCAGGTCAACATTCCATTGGGTAACTTCAACTGATGAAGCAAGCTGTTATCCCAAAACCTTTATCACATAAGATAGTATTCAAGAAGCTACTGCTGTACAACACAAATGATATAGAAGACTTACATAGGAAATTTATAGGAAGGTTGCCTTTTTCAGTTTTAAGTATTTTATATATATATTAATAAAGTGAGTATGTGTGAAAGAAATGGGCATTAAACTGCTAGCTTTGGAATGACTGTCTTGCAACTAATCTAGAATAATAGATACAGATTGTCTTGCAACTAATCTAGAATAAGCAACTTGCAAACTACAACTTAATTTTGCTTGTTTGCTAAATATATCTACATTTAAAAGGAGATAAATGGATTTAAGCCACAAATCTCCTTTTAGATTTTAGTTCCTTATTTTGTTAGTCAAATATATTTTTCTCCATTGGTTTATTTAAAAGTTATGTTTGATTTTCAGGGGAAAGTATTTGGAATAGCTCTTCATGAATTACCTCAAGTTGTGTCTGAATATGGAAATATACCTTGGTAAGTTACAATTTGAGTTTAACTAGAGTCTTCATAAATATGGCAAATTTAAGTTAAATAATACTTAAGTTAGGTTTTGGTTTTGGCAAGAATATAACAGTGAATAATCAGCTTTTCTATAAAACAAGCATGCTATACTGGGGAGGGAAAGAGAGATTCTTGTTCATGTTGGCTAAGGAAAAGGAAATTGCAACACTGGCTTCTGGTCTAAGCAGGAGACGTAATGACTTCTTGTCCTGATGCAGTGACAAGTTGTTTCTTTCTAGTATTGCAGTGTAATAGTGGAGTAGATGAGAAAAAACAGTAGATATTCAGGGCAACTAGAGGTAGTCCCCAGTTTAAGAACGAGTTCCGTTCCCAAAGTTTGTCCT